GTATTCTGCAGTTCTCTCTGATGACGCAGTAATTTACCGCAGGAAGAAAACATCTTCGGTCTGTCCAATGATTGTAAAGTCATTAGGTCCGTCAGGCTGAAGATATTTGAGCGGTAATGAAACCAAAAATATTTAAGACTTTTTAAGGCCTTATATTAGGAAAACGTTAAGACATTTTAAGACTTTTTAAGGACCCGCGGACACCCTGAGTACAGTAAGGGTTGCACCGACTAATCGACTAGTCGACTTCAATGCTCTGCCATGACGCTTTAAGCTTGACGTCGCTTGACGTTCAAGCATATGTTTCTTAACTAAATCCCACAGCTTCACTACTAGTAGAGACGCTGCCAGGTAGAATTAATTCACACACGCAATCGCTCTCACTAATGCATTCATATGAATGTAATCTTTACTGTGCTACCTTATCTGTATCTGATTTAGAACGAGCAGAAATCTGTGAGAATTATAATGACCCAATGACAAAAGAACTGATACAAATGAGCCGTTATTGGAGCAATAGCCATGTGGGTAGCGCTGTCATATGCCACAGCTGTGCACAAGATGTTTGTCACAGCTCCAGACTTATTTGTTCATTAATGAAAGTCGTTCAACCCCTACAGTACAGTATAATATCAAATTGCAAATATCATTAAAAGCTGTATGCAAATTTCCATATCACTGACAAGAAGACAAATCTTGCTGTAATCTGGCCTGTTATTTGTGGAGTATTTTATTCTAATATTACTGCGATTTCTTCCTCCCTGCAAAATAATTAAACACAAAAGCATTTACTGAGCTCTCATTATTGCAGATTGTCACAGATCAATGCGAATAATCAGATTATCCAATCAAGTCACCTTTATTTCTATAATGCTTTATACAATAGATTGTGTCAAAGCAGCTTTACAGTGAACCTTACAGCTGTTACCTAATCCTAAAAACAGGGAAACGTGTGCTGATAATGCAAGAGGACAATAGAGAACAGTCAGTTTTCCAGTTAAAGTCAGTTCATTGTTGATTCAGCAATGTAATCATTCAGCTCAGGTCAGTTTAAATAGTATCTGTGCAATCAAGTCAACAATCCTGCCAGAAATTAAGTGTCCCAAACTAAGCAAGACAAAGTCGGCAGTGGCAAGGAACCAAAACTCCATCTGTGACAGAAATGGAGAAAAAAAAAACTTGGGAGAGCAGGTTTAGTCGGGGGTCAGTTCTCCTCTGGCCAGGATTTGGATTGTGTGAGGCTGAAAAACTCACCAGCTCTTACACAGATGATCTGAAGAAGAATCACAACAGGAGCAGCAAACACTGCAAACTCAACAATAATCACAATCACTGCAGGAAAGATGTGTGGACAGATGATAGACACAATCAAGAGGGGGTGGGGGGGGGGAGACAGACTCAGTCTGTGAAATTGGGAATGAAATGAAAAGTATAAAACGACGAGGCTGAGGCTTTTGACTTGATCTGAATGTCACAGAACAAGTGATACATGCATTATAAGCCAATTGAACATGATATGAAACTCATAAGAAAACACAATTATATAATTTATATCATGAAACAAAATGGTATACAATAAACCTTTTTGACATTGTTCTTTGGAGAGGAACTCCATCCTTGAGTTGATCTGAATCTCACAGTTGAATCTGCTGGTTTTGAAGATGAAGATTAACTTTATTCACTGTGAAAACTTTAGATAATATTTCTTCGTTTTGCCACTTGTAATGTCTGGTTAGGACAGATTTATCCAGATGATATTTTATTACTTGATGCATTATTGTGTCTCATTTGGTGAGGACACAGCATCAGACCTGAAAGTGCTGGATCTGAAGATGATCTACTTACTGTGATTGTGTTTTGTATGACTGTGTAAAGCAGATGAACAATTGAAATGCTTCCCACATGCAGTGCAGTGATACGGTTTCTCTCCAGTGTGGATCCTCTCGTGTTTTTTCAGAGTTGTTGACTGACTGAATCTCTTGTCACAGTGTGAACACTTATAAGGTTTTTCTCCAGTGTGAATCCTCTGGTGCTGTTTTAAATGTTCAGCTGTAGAAAAAGTCCTCTCACACTCAAAGCACACATGATCTCTCGCACCAGTATGTATTTTCTGATGTTTTTTTGCATTTTCTAAACATGAAAATCTCTTTCCACACAAATGACATGAATATGGCTTCTCCTTTGTATGAACTCTCAGGTGTTTCCTCAGGTCTGAAGCTCTCAAAAATGTTTTGTCGCATTGATCACATGCGTACAGTTTCTCTCTAGTGTGGATGTTCATATGTTCCTTAAGGTGTGCTGATTGTGTGAAACTCTTCCCACATTGATCACAAGTGTATGGCTTCTCTCCAGTATGAACTCTCATATGCCCTGTAAGGTGTCCTTTTCGTGTGAAACTTTTCCCGCACTGATCACATGTATAAAGTTTCTCTCCAGTGTGGATCCTCATATGCTCTGTAAGATGTCCTTTTAGTGTGAAACTCTTCCCGCATTGACCACAAGTGTATGGTTTCTCTCCAGTATGAACTCTCATATGTCCTGTAAGGTGTCCTTTTCGTGTGAAACTTTTCCCGCACTGATCACATGTATAAAGTTTCTCTCCAGTGTGGATCCTCATATGCTCTGTAAGATGTCCTTTTAGTGTGAAACTCTTCCCGCATTGACCACAAGTGTATGGTTTCTCTCCAGTATGAACTCTCATATGTCCTGTAAGGTGTCCTTTTCGTGTGAAACTCTTCCCGCACTGATCACATGTGTACGGTTTCTCTCCAGTGTGTATCCTCTCGTGTGTTTTTAGGATTCCTGACCGACTGAATCTCTTGTCACAGTGTGAACACTTGTGAGGTTTCTCTCCAGTGTGGATGTTTATGTGTATCTTAAGGCTTGATGACTGAGTGAAGCTCTTCCCACACTGATCACAAGTGTACGGTTTCTCTTCAGTATGAACTCTCATGTGAACATCAAATTTATTTTTGCTTGTGAAACTCTTTCCACACTGAGTGCAGGTGAAAGATTTCTTGGCTCTTCTTTTCTTTATATCTTTTTGTTTGGTTTGAGAGCAATTCAAAGTTTCTTCTTTAGGTTTCTCCTCAACTTCACTCAATTCTTCATTCTCCTTGGTTTCTTCAATCAACTCTGAAATAAAGTAAAAATGGTTCATTTTCAGTAACTCTCAGTAACCCTGATTAACCCTGATGTAACAGTGTAAAGTAGACAGTTGCTATACCAAATTTTGGTCATTTTGATGCATTTTTGTACATTATATCTCCATGAATGAGGTACATTGATCTTCCAATTATTATTTTTAAAACATTATAAGCACAATTAACATGTTTTTACAGGGAGAACTATTAAATATGTTTGATCAACTACACAATTATCTAACAATGTTATTGAAAAAAGTAACCTACTACAACAAATCATAATCTGCTTGAAGCTTTATAACCATCAGCATTATTAATGAAGAATAAACACCAACCTGTTTGTTCTTCAGTATCTTCAGTGCGTTTCATTCTGCAGGGTTTGTGGGAGGAGCTTCACTGAACATGAATTTCTGTGTGGAAGCAGATTTGCCAAATTTTTTAATAATTTACATATTTAAGCATTTATGTATTAGAAGCAGAAGAGACTTACAAATACAAAGTGTTGCCTCTGTAAATTATTATATTACTATATTAAAAGTAACAGTGTCAACACAAAGAGCAGATCAATTTAAAATGCTCATTCAGTAACACATGTGCGCCAATTCACACATTCTATGCATTTCTGTTTTCTGTCTTTCTAATGTTAACATTTCTAACCATATTTAATTTTTCATTCTGCCTTAGTATTAACATTCAAGAAGATATCCGTCTAGAAATATAGAAAATAATACAATGTAAATTCTTCCAAATATAAATAACAGTTAGCGTGAAAAATTAAAGCATAAACACAGACATTTGATGCCACCCATCTTCATTTACAATTACAGGTAAATAACTACACTGTATCTAAATATAGTTTGATTTTCTAACAACTACATTCAGAGCAATTAAAGTAATTAAATTATTAACATGTCAGTTTTATATGTGCAGTAATTGACAATGATCATAAAATCTTCTTTAAACAGAAAGAGTACCACAAAGCACAAATTTTTATATATATATACACATTTCCAGTGTATATATCAATCCACTAACATTACACTGAAGTTGTAAAACACCTCAATATTATCTATGATTTCCGCGATGCGGAAAACGCAGACAGAATCGCGGAATCCAGTCATGGAATTTACTGTATGACGCGGAATGTCACAGAATTTGTCAAAGTTTGGATGAATTAATCAAAAGTAGGCCAGTACACTTAAATAGAGTCGCTAATATGGATAATATGTAAATATTAAGCCGCAAAAATACTATTTAAATATGGATCCAGCATGTTCTGCGTGTCTCTGTATGTAAATGGCATAATTCCCTTGATTACGAATGGTTTTGTTTTCTACACAAACAAAGTGTGCGACGCTCGCGGTGATTTCAGCTTCTGTCGTCTCACTACATGAAGACATAAATACATGAACAACATCTCCAGAACTGCTCTGACTCCCTCTAAGAGTCACTTCATGAGCATTTGACAGTTTCATTGGAGTAAAACTATCTTCATATCATTTACATAGACCTACAGAAACAAGTTCCTCATGGCAACCCGTCAAAATATAAACCGGGTTCGAATCTGCCTCTTGGCGAACTTTTTTCTCCCTTTTCAAATTTCAAATCACATCAGAAAAGCATTTATTTTCAATGAAAATGAAGGAAATAATAAAAAAGTTGAAAATCGGGTAGGGTTAGGGTAGGTGTAGGGAGGGCTTTATTGTCCCAATAAGGTGGCATCCATTTAATAATTTGAATTAAAATTTACACTCAATAAGTTATTATTGCATACTGTTTTAGAATGTACTACAATACTGAGGTGCAGATAATTGCCACTATTTGCAATAAGTAGTATAAATAGCAGAAAATCCTGCTGTTTTAACATAGTGTAAATAGAATCTATAGCTATTTGCACTTAGTGTAAATCGCATATATCACAAAACAAAAATGCTGCTTTTTTCACTTATTCTAATATATTAAAGCATTCTGCAAGGCTGTGGCTCTCTATATATATATATATATATATATATATATATATATATAATCTCTTCATATTTCATATTTTAAATATCCCATGTGACATACAGACTAATTATATGAAGTATTTAGCAGTATCTGTGCTTAATTTTAACCATGTAAAGTAAGTTAACTACAACAAATGTATTTAATAGAAACAGCTAAATTTGATATCGCTTCGCATCCATTCCCCTCACAGATAACGAGACATTCAGTAACAGCAACATTATCACTCCAAACATCGAAACAATCATTCACACGAACACACAAAATCACTCGGATCTTATTAAATGAACTTAACATGTTTTTCCTCACGTGCTAAGTGTTTAAGCCGGCAAACACACAAACAGCGCTGTTCTCGATGAAAACAAGGCAGAAACGACCTCGTATATGTTGCATAAACAAACGGTGTAAAGTGTATTTAACAATTAAATATGCGAAGATAATGATCTACTCACCTCTCCTCAGAAGACTCGACGCTGACTGAGTGAACGCGCGCTAGTGATGACGTCATCGCCGCGAGGCGGAATCAACCAAGGTTTTCTTTTTCTTTTTTTTATTATTAACAAGATCAAAATACATGTATATGACAAACACTATACATGATATAAAAAATAAACATTATACATGAAATAAACAATTTCACACTAGAGGGGCTGTATACAAATACAAATTTATATAAAAATATAAAAGCGTTTACAAACTTTCACCGTATTGATTGATTTTGTTTCATAGAAAATCGCACAGTATCAATATAATGCTCCATTTCCTTCCTAAAAGAAAAAAAAAATTTTTTTGCATGAGAAGGAGCAACTAAAATCAATATCAGATTAAAATTTTACCAAATAATATTTGGCTGGGTAAATCCTGTGTATAATTTTGAATGATACTTCCTTAACCTTGTTTGTAATTAAATATTGATTCGGTATTAACCAAACCTTTTTCCAAACAATATTGTCTGTCAGGCGATTCCAGTATGAATAAACATAAGGCAAAGACACAATGTCTTGTTGAAATAAAGCTCTTACGGAACTGCTGTGTGATTTAAGAGAAAAACAGATGTTACCTATATAAGAACTTATTATATTAGGCAGAGACCACTGTTGGATGTTAATTCTTGTCTGATGTCTAAATAACATACAAACTTCAGGAGAAATAGCCCCAAAAACTTTGACATAGTCCCCTGGTGTAACAGGAATCTTATAATGTGCCAAAAACTCACCATAAGTAAAAAGAAAACCATTAAAATTAAATAACTGATCCACCAATATGATGCCTTTATCAAACCAGTGTTTTAGATAAAGCGATTTGTGTTTATATAATGTATCTATATTGTTCCATATATAGTACCTATGAGGTGAAAAATTGTGCTTGTGGATCAAAGACCATGATAAAAAGGCCTGACGGTGAAATTCAGCTAGTTTTCTTGGTATTTTATCAACATTATAATTACAGCTAAGAAAAACATTTATACCACCAAATTTTGATAGAATATGGGAGGGAATAAAACACCAAATGGAATTAGGATTTGTAACAATTTGTTTAAGCCAATTAACCTTACATGTAAGGGTTATTAATGTAGCAAAATCCAAAACATGTAAGCCACCTTCTTTATGTAATGTGTTTTATTTTTCCAAATGAAGTCAATCAATATTTTGTCAATTTCTTTACATCGTTTTTTTTATCAAGATGTAAAGCCATTGCTGCATAAATAAGTCTAGAAATACCCTCTGCCTTTGTAATTAAAACTCTACCCCTTAAAGAGAGGTCTCCTATTAGCCAATTATTTCACTTTTTTTTCAATAATAGGACTAAAATTTAGCAAGAGCCTTCTTTTCTGGTCTTTGGTTATCAATATTCCAAGATATTGAACCTCATTCTTTAAGGGAACACCGGATCAACCAAGAGGTCCTCGCTGCAGCCTGTAGCACGATGTATTGTACACAATATGTATTGGATTTGACGAGCATGCGCAGTATTGGATGTTAATGCGCATGCGCAAAGTGGGGCTTTTATTGAAGCTGGTATTTAATGTAAATTAAACTGTAATTAAGGGATATAGGCCTAGGTGTGTTTCATAGGCTCACACAAATTATATTATACTATGATTTTAAACTAGTAGTGTATTCAGACTTTATTTAAGCAACGATGGCGTAGTTTTGAATGAAAGAGTTTGGTATGTAAACTGTTTATTTTTTATTAGTTTGATTCGTTTTATAAAAAACTCTACTAATTACAATTTTGTTTGTTCTTTATGAAAAAAATGGGGTATAACTATTGTCTTTATTTTTTCCTCTGATAGTCTAGTCTAGGTAAGATAGTTCTGTCAAAAATTCGTTTATGAATCAAATATTATTTTTGTTCTCACTCTCTGTGCTATACGTGACAGAGTATAAAAGTTATAGGCCTACTAAAATATACGGACAATTTTTTATACCATATAAAAGTAAAAAGAAGAAAAACAATACTGTCAGTTGGGGTTCGGTATAGCCGATAGACTGTTATCCTGGGTTATACCGGGTTTTTTTACAGTTAATCCCAAGGCATATTAACACAAAGATGACCATTTCTTTTTTTGTGTGTTATATGCAAATTAACTCCCTGGAGATAGATAGACCAATTATAAATGGCTAAAGACATAAACCATCCATTCTCTCTCTAAAATCCAGAGTGTTAAATTAACACTGCTCGGAGCAAATATGGTCCCACTCTAAAAGAGTATTAAAGTAACACTGAAGCGGTGTTAAAGTTAATGAGATAATTATGTGATTAATTAAGTGCTGATTGAGCATTTGTGATGAACAGCTGCTGTTAACAAGCAGAATCACTGAAGAAAAGAGAAACACAAGAATGTCAACTGACTTCAGCCACAGCCTTAGATAAAATCAACTGAAATAAAAAACATTAAATCTCTCAAGATCTCAGCAGAAGATGATTAAACATCTCCACAAACAGCATCACTAGCTTCACACATTACTAACGAGTTTGAATTTTTGTTTGTCATGCGTCTAAAAATTTCTTATTAAGAATTAACAGAGGTTTAATGTTAATGTTTATTGGAAATAATACAATTTGAACTCACCGTTGTAGAGATAAGCGTTTGCTTTAGTTGGGCTTGTGACCCACCTTTATTGTCCAGTTGCTTTCGACTCTGGTGCAGTAGGTTGTCGGCAGCCCTGTGTAGAATGGTGTTCCTCACAATGCCTGGCCAGTCCTTTTGGTCTGCTGTCTGGGCAGTTAGACCGCATCTGCAACATTTTGTCAAACTCGTGTTGAGAGTAAGGGCTAGAGACTAATACAAGATCAAACAGAATGTGGAGCTAGGTTTTATAGCTAGATTTTGCCAGGTGTGGTTAGCTGTAGTATTCAGTTATTATCTTAGCTGTGGATGACAGAATGCTAAAATAGGTTTGGGTCGGCATATGTTTGCTGAAAAGGGCGTAAGCAGAGTTCTGATTGATGGCTTAAGACTGTTCTTATTCTCAAATGATCACTCAGAACTTACTAATGGTTCACAACAGGCTCAATCTCTGAGGAAGTGAAGTAGAGGAGGGAAAAGGAAGAGGAGAGCATTCCTATTCAGATTATGCTTATTACTTGGTGCTCAGGACTATAGTTATGCCCTAGTATTTGTCTAGATGACTTGTGTAATAGGGTCATAAAATTAGAGCACATGTTGAATATAAACACATCAAAAATAGAAGTGTCTCTGGTTCCTATTGAGGTTCAGAGAGAACATCAAACCAAAGTGGAACAAAAGGGGGCATAACTTGTTAATGGATTTAAAATTAGCTGACTGCTATTATTAAAACAGGGTAATCAATCTGGTATTAGGAACAATCAGTAGCACTAGTGATTAACTGTAAGATTTGTGTTGGCCAACACAACATGGTAGGTCACAGCTGCTGCGTGTTCAGCTCCCATGCCTAGACCATACCCTGTGTGTGCCCCACCCTTCGTAGCGTGTTATTCACTGTGCTATGAAAAACCCCTAATAACTTAATTCTTCTCTAGATAAACAGTTAAAATGTAATTAAATTTAGATTGAATTAACTAGTAACTGAGCATTAGCATTCAGGAAGGATACATCTAAGTTTGTTACATTAGCTGAGAAGAATTGAAGATAGGGAAACAGAGAATACAGAAAGTGAAAAATCAGAAACCAGGGATTGGGTTAAATTCAAGTTACTTCACACTGCATACACACATGCTGTATTTAAAAGCTTCAAGTAAAGGGTGCTAACCCCTAATTGTTAAAGCTATTTGGTAACTTAGCCTAAGATGAAACTATACTAAGTCCTGTTATCTTAGCTGCTTAAGGTGGTTTGTTTACAACATGGCATCACCAGGTGACGCGTGTGCTATGTGGAGTTAGCATTCCTGTCATGGAATTGTCATGACAAAAGTCATTGTCATGGTAACCAATGCATGCCAGTATAATTCAAGCAGTTTAGTGTCTGCCTATTTCAAAGAAGAAGCCCACAATTTTAAAATGTGGTGCTTTCAGTCCTTCAAGACTTGTTGCATTAAATAAGTACTTCTGTGAGTGCTTCTCTAATTTAACAATAAACTTCTTGCACTTGTTTAAAGAATAACAGAACAGGTTTACTGTAAGTTAAAGCCAGTTTAAACATATGTAGTTATGTGTGCCTTACACATGAATACTGAAGTACAGTATTACACCTTTAGTTTCACTCAGCAAGTGAAAGACAGTAATGACCACCAGGTTGCTAGGCTTGTATACATACAGTCAAAGTCTAGATGAATTGCATCTATCTAATTCTAATCTAAAAGGCCTTTATGCTGTAAAAAGAGGAGCATCACTCAAATCTACCTTTATATATATCTCTTTACTGAGATTTCTTCGTCAGAAACGGTTTAAACAATACTGCAATTTTGTGATTTTTTCACTAAAGCAGATTAATGCATTATGGTACAGTTTGGACTGAGCTGAGATTTCTTTGTCAGAACAGATTTATGCTTTAATACTGAAATTAGGGTTTCTTCGCTAAAATCAGATTAACCTTACACTGATACCATTAAGCATGAAATACATAAAGACTCTTTCAATCATAATAGCGATACCAATTCAAGCCCCTACTTTATCTGCATTTAAACAAGCCAGCAAATACGGACACAAATGCGTATCTCAAGTCACGCCCTATTCTAACCTGGACTATCAAGCACACACTTTTAGGTTGACAGTGTTTTAAGCTCATAACCTATGTTTTATCATGCCCGCATTCTCCACCAATATATGTAAGGGAAACAGGTCAATTTAGCTCAAAGGGAATCTGTAGCAAAGTTCGTAGTTCGGGAAGAAGGAGGCGGGAACCGGCGAACGTTCAAATACTTTAATCATAACATAAACACAAAACAGCGCAACAGCCCCTCGCGGACGACTGTCGCACACAAACAAAACCAAAACACAAAAGAAACTCCAGGCCTGGTCCTCTCTCGTCCAACACTGTCGTCACTCCTCACTTTTATCCTTCCGGAGCTCCTCCGTGAGACTCGAGACCGGTGAGTGGTGCAGGTGTCGCTCATTATCAATTACTCCACCGGCCTCGCCCCGTTCCCACGGCTCTCGGCCCCACCCCCACTCATCACAGAATAATTTATGATTTTATAGGGAATTTGGACAGAATCACTGTTTTATGGCTGATCACCGAGTCCGCCAGCGATTCATTGAACGAGCCGTATAACATAAATTCTGCAATGGATATTAATATCCAAAGTATAGTGAAAACACTATTTATTAGCACAGTAACAAGATCGGCAGTTTAAGACATTAACTTGTAAGCACAAAACACAAGATACTTTTCTTTTCAATATAAATAAGGCTTTATTAGATAAATCTAAGACATATAAACTAGTCTAACACATAAACATGCACTCACACATTCACACAAGTTGCAGGAAGAGAGAAAGTGAGGAAATAATGAGTTTAAGAGAATGAAAATGTGAAATCCCACGTTTACAGCAATATGTGCAGTTGCATAGACCTGAACAACCATCAATCACTTAATTAACCCTCGAATTGAGTTCCTCAATGAGGTTAAAATTTATATTAAATGCACCAGCTCAGCTAGAATCTGGAGGTACTTGCGTTGCCTGTGTACGGCTGATCACTGCGATCACGGCTGATCATTCCCTTTGTTGTCGTCCTTGCAGAAAAGGGGGTTTCCCGCAGTTGCTGATTGGCTGGAAGTTCAGTTGTCGTTGAAGTGACGTCTTGGGAAGCCAATGGTTGGGCGTTGGCTGAAGATGCTGCGTTGTGGGCTGGTTGAAGTTGAGGCTGTCACCTCGGAGACACGTTGTTGCGGCAAAACTTAACTCAGAACACAAAACTCTCAAAGGAAAAGAAAAAGTTAAAGTAGAGGAATAGAAGTAAAGTTCTCCTCATGGTTTTGGAAGGAGCAGCTGGCGTGTAAGTGAGAGCATGCTCAAAGAGCACTAAAAAGCAAAGCTTAAAAAGCAAAAGCTAAAAAAAAGCATGACTAAAAAGCTAGAAGCGAAAATCTGAAAGCTAAAAGGCTAAAAAGCCGCATGGCTCAAAGTGATGACTAAAAGCCTAATTTGATGGTGTCCTGAGTATTTAAACCAGGTTGTTGGCCACATCCCAAATGGTGTTTTGACCAATTAGACACTGTCTTAGCTCGGGGTGTTGCTATATTTCTCCTCCCAATTCATAAATCAAATGTTATCTTATCAGTCACATGGTCCGAATTTTCCCGCTCTTGCAGAGTATAATTTTGGACATGATTTCTATAACAAGAATATGATACATTTGACAAAGAATTGATTGATAGAAACGTTTAAAGCATGAATTTTCAAACTCATACATACCCAACATGAATATGATCCTATAAACTATTCAATAGTTATTAAAAATACACACACAATAAGTGATTAGAACATTATAGTCAAATGTGTGGGTTATGTAATGTCAGCTTACTTTTCTTAGGGAATTAATCATTATTATTCTAGCTCAGGTTTTGAACGGAATCGAATCTGAAAATTCGAAGTCAACCTGATTAGAACTGATTTCCAATTTGATAGTTTACACTTTATCAACGGTCGTCCAACGAGACGTTAACCTCAGTATATTTGAACAATTTGAATATTTGTATTTTCCCTGGCCACGGGTTAGTATGTGCTTTGATAAGTTATAAGCTACGAGCTAGGTAACGTGATCTTGGCAAGGTTTAACTTTAAAATTACAACACAAGACAATGATTCTTTATAAATGATCTTGAGATATTTAATGTCTTTTATTTCAGTTGATTTTATCTAAGGCTGTGGCTTGAAGTCAGTTGTAATTTTTGTTTTTCTCTTTTCTTCAGTGATTCTGCTTGTTAACAGCAGCTGTTCATCACTAATGCTCAATCAGCACTTAATTAATCACATAATTATCTCATTAACTTTAACACTGCTTCAGTGTTACTTTAACACTCTTTTAGAGTGGGACCATATATGCTGTTAATTTAACACTCGGGATTTTACTGTGTGGAGAAAACAATTTAGCTGCTCTCAAACCAAACAGAAAGATTTAAAGAAAATATGAGCCAAGAAATCTTTCACCTGCACTCAGTGTGGAATGAGTTTGACAAGCAAAACAAGTCTTGAGTGTCACATGAGAGTTCATACTGGAGAGAAACTGTTCACTTGTGATCAGTGCGGGAAGAGTTTCACTCAATCATCAAGCCTTAAGATACAAATAAACATCCATACTGGAGAGAAACCTTATAAGTGTTCATGTAACCCCGCTTTCTGGTTCTTTCTTTTAACCCATCCGGAAAGGACAACACCGAGACGTAGGCTGAGCTCACTCATCACGTTTACTGGAATATATGAAATGACACCAAACAGACATGAAATACAGCTCATCCGGTCTCATAACATTCTCCTCAACAGCTTTCATGCGACTGATTTACCAGTTCAACACACAATAAATCAGTCTTTCCATAATTAAGAGCTCAATTTCTTTTTCTGTTGTTTTCTGAACATAGAAAATATAACATCATAAGAACATTCGTACATCATACCTGGAATATATGAAATGACACCAAACAGACATGAAATACAGCTCATCCGGTCTCATAACTGTCAAAAATAAATATACATGTGAAAATAAGCAATGAGAAAATACAGAGACAGAAACGCAATGAATACCATGTGCTCCTAATGCACTCAACAGTGCGTTCGGAATAAAACATCAATTATTCGTCAACTCTAGATCTCTTATGACTCAAATATGAAATAAAATACTTTTAAAATAACAATTTTGACCTCAAAGAGAAATAAAATAATCTCTGACATTTTATTTCTGTTCGACCGGAGAGAGATTTTACACCTACCATTCTCCTCAACAGCTTTCATGCGACTGAAGAGAAAATGGCCGACTCCACTAATAGGTTACCTTAGTCACCTGTAGGTGTCCCCATATCCCTTTCTTTTAGATGCACTTAATACATTCTATTCAATTAATATCTTAGAATTATTTTGCAATATGAACAATCATTTTGGCACAATTCATTACAAGTTTCTTTTCCCCGTTACATTCACACTGTGACAAGAGATTCAGTCAGTCAGGATTCCTGAAAACACACGAGAGGATCCACACTGGAGAGAAACCGTACACATGTGATCAATGCGGGAAGAGTTTCACACTAAAAGGATGTTACGGCACATATGAGAGTTCATACTGAAGAGAAGCTGTTCTCTTGTGACCAGTGTGGGAAGAGTTTCACAAATTCATCAAGCCTTAACATGCAAGAAGATGTCTGTCTAGAAATATAGAAAAGGACATCATGTAAATTCTTCCAAATATAAATAGCAGTGAGAATGAAAATAATAAATACACTGAACAAAAATATGTACACAAAAGGCCTATTTCTCTCAAATATTGCTCACAAATCTGTCTAAATCGGTGTTAGTGAGCACTTTTCCTTTGCCAAGATAATCCATCTACCTCACAGGTGTGGCATATCAAGATGCTGATTAGACAGCATGATTATTGCACAGGTGTGCCTTAGGCTGGCCACAATAAAAGGCCACTCTAAAATGTGCAGTTTTACTGTATTGGGGGGTCCGAAAACCAGTCAGTATCTGGTGTGACCACCATTTGCTTCACGCAGTGCAACACATCTTCTTCGCATAGAGTTGATCAGGTTGTTGATTGTGGCCTGTGGAATGTTGGTCCACTCCTCTTCAATGGCTGTGCGAAGTTGCTGGATATTGGCAGGAACTGGAACACGCTGTCGTATACGCCGATCCAGAGCATCCCAAACATTCTCAATGGGTGACATGACCGGTGAGTATGCTGGTCATGCAAGAACTGGGATGTTTTCAGCTTCCAGGAATTGTGTACAGATCCTTGCAACATGCAGCCGTGCATTATCATGCTGCAATATGAGGTGATGGTCATGGATGAATGGCAAAACAATGGGCCTCAGGATCTCGTCACGGTATCTCTGTGCATTCAAAATGCCATCAATAAAATGCACCTGTGTTCGCTGTCCATAACATACGCCTACCCATACCATAACCCCACCGCCACCATGGGCCACTCGATCCACAATGTTGACATCAGCAAACCGCTCACCCACACGACGCCATACACGCTGTCTGCCATCTGCCCTGTACAGTGAAAACCGTGATTCAGCCATGAAGAGAACACCTCTCCAAAGTGCCAGATGCCATCGAATGTGAGCATTTGCCCACTCAAGTCGGTTACGATGACGAACTGCAGTCAGGTCGAGACCCCGATGAGGACGACGAGCATGCAGATGAGCTTCCCTGAGACGGTTTCTGACAGTTTGTGCAGAAATTCTTTGGTTATGCAAACTGATTGTTGCAGCAGCTGTCCGGGTGGCTGGTCTCAGATGATCTTGGAGGTGAAGATGCTGGATGTGGGGGTCCTGGGCTGGTGTGGTTACACGTGGTCTGCGGTTGTGAGGCCGGTTGGATGTACTGCCAAATTCTCTGAAACGTCTTTGGAGACGGCTTATGGTAGAGAAAAGAATATTAAATTCACGGGCAACAGCTCTGGTGGACATTCCTGCAGTCAGCATGCCAATTGCACGTTCCCTCAAAACACGACATCTGTGGCATTGTGCTGTGTGATAAAACTGCACATTTTAGAGTGGCCTTTTATTATGGCCAGCCTAAGGCACACCTGTGCAATAATCATGCTGTCTAATCAGCATCTTGATATGCCACACCTGTGAGGTGGATGGATTATCTCGGCAAAGGAGAAGTGCTCACTAACACAGATTTAGACAGATTTGTGAACAATATTTGAGAGAAATAGGCCTTTTGTGTACATAGAATAAGTCTTAGCTCTTTGAGTTCAGCTCATGAAAATGGGGGCAAAAACAAAAGTGTTGCGTTTATAATTTTGTTTAATATAAGTAAATAAAAAACACAGACAATTGATGACACCCATCTTCATTAACAACAAGTAAATATCTAGAGCACATAATATATAAATATAGTTTGATTTTCTAATAACTACATTCAGAGCAAAAAGTAATTAAGTTATGGACATGTTTTAGAGATCATAAAATTTTCCTTACCATGTAAAGTAACTATAACAAATTTGATCTGCCAAATATAAATGTCAGTGAAAAAACGTTGTAAATGAAAATGCAGCAAAAGCTTGATATCTGTTCGTGTTCATTCCCCTCACAGATCACGAGACATTCAGTAACAGCAACAGTATCACTCCAATCATCAAAACAATCATTCACACAAACATACAAAACACAAAATCACTCATATCTTAATTGTAAGGAATTTAACTAATTTAATTTTATAAGGGAATGAATTATTAATTTTATTTCTAGCTCAGGTTTTGAGAGGAATCGAATCTGAAAATTCGAGGTCAACCTGATTAGAACTGATTTCAAATTTGATAGCAGAGGTGGGACTTTCAAGTCACAAGCAAGTCTTCAACTCAAATCCCAAGTCCCAAGTTAAAGTTAATTAGATAATTAAGTGACTAATTAAATGATGATTGTGCATTAGTGATGAACACCTGCTATTAACAATCAACATCATTGAAGAAAAGAGAAACACAAGAACTACATCTGACTTCAGCCGCAGCCTTGGATGAAATCAACTGAACCCCCAACCACCCACCCACCCATCCACCCAAAAAAAAAAAAAACACACAAACACACGATGCCACCATAATTGTGGTCAAGGTTTGCTTTAGTTGGGCTCTTGACCCTTATACTAATTCAAAGTAATTTGCTTCTAAGCGATTGCCATGTTGTTTCACAGCAAACCTTTGTGCATTTGCGGAATCAAACCTTGAAGTAGCAGATAAGCTTAGACTTTCTGCCTATAACTCATGATGAATGAACATCATAAAGTGGTCTTTCTTTGGTTTATTGAAGCATTTTGTTGATTGTCACCATTGTTAAGATTCAAATGCTAGTTCTTGATGTCTGTGTGTGTCTAAGTAGCACTGGAGATAAAATTTTTATATGCATTACAAAGATTTAAAATTTATTCATAGTAACTATTAGAGCAGCACTTTGTTTTACATGCTGTAGTTTCACAGGGTTGATTATGCAAAACCTAAACATATAACATTTTTTTATTGTAATCAGGTCAGCTCATGATAACTATCTCATCATATAAAAACAGCTAATAGCTGCTCACTGCATAGCACTGACCTCTCTGCGTCACAACACCTCATGCATTGCTATAAAGAAAGATCTAACACAGGTGTAGGGTATCAGACCAAATCAGACAATTTAAGGGTATCAGACCGAATCAGACAATTTAAGATTTGATAAAGAACAGTTGAAACACGAGGAGCTGAATTCCACAGAGGCCCAAGACACAGGATGTTCGTAAATCAGATCCTGGCGCCACAAGCCTGAACCAACTAGCAGCTTTGAGTAGCTCACAGCATTTAAACAAAAGAACACTTATTGACAATTCCAAGGAGATTGTCAATTTTGGGGGCAAGTAATCAAGATTAAATGGTCAGAGATGCACAGCATGACCATCACACGTAAACCAGTGACGATCACGAGCTCTTTGGATTGACTTCCCCCACCTCGACGACAGAGAACAGACTGAAATTCCTTATGAGAGACCTCTTAACCTCTGGTCTTCACAGAACATGTCCTTATGTTCAGAGAATGGCGCAGAAACTGCATTTCCATGTAAATATGTATTACTTTAGTTTCTTTAATTTTCCGTTGAGAGTTTCGTGTTCTGAGTTAAGTTTTGCCTAACGCCGCGTCTCTGAGTCCGACCTCGAGTGCCGTCCAAAACTTTAACCAGACCACAAATCCAGCCAACGCCCAACCACTGGCTTCCCAAGACTGAACTTCCAGCCAATCAGCAACTTTGGGAAACCCCCTTTTCTGCAAGGACCACAACAAAAGGAAACCCAAAGCAAGTACCTCCATATTCTAGCTGAACTGGTGCATTTAATATAAAGTTTAACCTCATTGAGGAACTCAATGCGAGGGTTAATCAAGTGATTGATGGTTGTTTAGGTCTTTGCAATTAGACATATTGCTGTAAACTTGGGATTTCACATTTTCATTCTCTTAAACTAATAATTTCCTCACTTTCTGTCTTTCTGCAACTTGTGTGAATGCGTGTGTTTGTGTTAGATTAGTTTATATTAATGTCCTAGATTTATCCAATAAAGCCTTATATATATTGAAAAGAGAAGTATCTTGTGTTTTGAGCTTACAAGTTAATGTCTTAAACTGCCGATCTTGTTACTGTGCTAATTAATAGTGTTTTCACTATATTTTGGATCCATTGCAGAGTTGATGTTGTGCGGCTCGCTCAATGAATCGCTGGCCAACTCGGTGATCAGCCGTAAAACAGTGATGCTCTCCAAATTCCCTATAATATCTTAAATGATTCCCTTTGAGCTAAATTGATCTGTTTCCCTTACACAGGAGTCAAGGGTCAAAAGCCCCACTAAAGCAAACACTAATCTCCATGATGGTGGCATCATTTTAACCAATAAAACATCAACATCTGATCCTCTGTAATTCTCAATAACAGCAGGTGTTCATCACTAATGCACAATCATCATTTAATTAGTCACTTAATTATCTCATTAACTTTAACTCTTTGAGGACTTGGTATATGACTTGAAGACTTGCTTGTGACTTGAAAGTCCCAACTCTGTTTGATAGTTTACACTTTATCAGCTACTCGTCCAGCGAGACGTTAACGTCAGTGTATACTAACAATTTGAATATTTGTATTTTCCCTGGCCACGGGTTAATACATGCTTTGATAAGTTATAAGCTACGAGCCAGGTAACGTGATCTTGGCAGAGTTTTAACTTTACAAAATTTCACGACACCAGACAATACTTTTTTATAAATGAAACAAGAATTTATTGGCTATTCTAGTTTACATTAAACTGAGCTAAAAAACATATACACACACATACAGTTCTGAAGAATGAAAGTTAACGAAGTTTGTATGAAGTTTCCAAAGTTCCAATTTGTTTTCCACGAGTTCTTTTAAATTCAACCTGAGAGAATCACAAAGCAGAGACTTGGC